CTCGTGCTATTTACTGCCTCTGAAAACCATCTGGAGATTTGTCTATGGGTTGGTTCTGACTCAGTATTACACAAGTCTGTAATAACAACAAAATTAAGTATATATTACATATTCCTGTTATTCCAAAATTCTTTATTCTAGTCTTCACAAGTACTTGCTATGCATCAGAGAGCTGGGCAATGACTGAAGGTGGTAGAAGAATCGATGTCTTTGAGTTGTGGTGCTGGAGAAGAGTGTTGACCATATCACAGACTGCCAAGAGAACAATCAGGTCTTTCCTGGAGAGGGTGAAACCAAGCTACTTCTTGGAGACAAGGATTTTGAGACTCTATTCCACATACTTTGGTTATGTTGCCAGGACGGACCAGTCCTTGGAGATGGACGCCATGCTTAGAAGTCTGGAAGGTCAGTGCCAGAGAGGAAGACCCTTGATTGGCACAGTAACTAGGGTAATGGATGTAGGTGTGTCAGAGGCAGTGAGGTTGGCGCAGGATAGGGCACGGTTCAGAGCTACTGCGCAGAGAGTCGTTATATGAGTCACAGGTGACTCTATGGCACATAACAATATGTAATAATCAAAGTAAGTTGCTATATTCTCAATTCGTCTTTTAAAACCTCATAGTACAATTAAAAAAATTTTAAAAAACCATTGTCAGAGAAGGTGATAGGAAGAGATCTTTAGTAATTTATGAAATCTCTTGTTGTTGTGTACCATAAGTGATCCATAACTGACCCTTCGACCAGTTTTCAGAGACAGTCAATTACATGGGAGGAGATTGCCCATCCTTCTTCCTCAGAGGAGCAGGTGGATTCGAACTATGTGCCTTCGAGATTGCAGCACAGCATCTTGCCTCTAGGCTACCAGTACTTCCTAAGAAGACATAAAGCCTCTTGTCACACTCATTGTACTCTCTTGCTAGGCTACACACACCTTTACGCCCCATTGCTAGCATTGAAGTATCTCAGCCAAAATTTAGAAAAGATTGCAGTTAGTGATCTGTTCTCCTGAGTTCAGGCAATGACTCCCTCTTATCTAACAGTTTGTCATTGTTTACTCCTTGAAGGTGGTGCGCATATCTGTAATCATGGCAGAAGAAGAGAGGCAACATAAAATATCCCAAGGCTTCAGAGAAGTTTTCAAATACTGGAACTCATCAGACCTGATCTACTCCAAAGACTGAGTTCCGCACCAAGATGCAGGAAAACCGCAATGTCCAAAGTAGTTCCAACCACAAAGGATTATGATTGGCTCTGTCTCTCCTTTCATGACCACCAACTTACTTGTTAATTGTGAAACTTTCTTCTTTGAGCAAAACATTAAAATGTGGCATAGCCTGTCTGCAAACATGATCTCTCAACTCTCATTGCCATTAGGTTTGTACCAACTCCCCGCTGACCCTCCAATGGGTTGTCAGGGGCTGTAAATCATTCAGGAAGAGACTGTCCATCTTTCTCCCCGGCTCTGCCAGGGAATTTAAATGACCAGAGGAGGCTCAGCCTGGGGTTATTATTGCAACTGAACAAAAGTAAAATACTGAGCCACTTTCACTTCATTTTTTTTTTTCAGGACCAGTAGAATCAAGTAGTAACAGAAAAAGATGCTGGTTTGTGTCCATTTTAGCCATTGAGATGCAGAGTGATTATCAATTTCCTGTCCTTACTAAAATGTAACCACAAAGTGTCACCTCTACAGTGGAAACTTAGGGCTTAACATGACTGCTTGTGGTTCCTATCTGAACCAAATGTCCCCGGATTATAATAACTAGAGGATATCATTGGATGCAGCTTAACAAACATTCAGATGAAGGAAAATTTCTTTCTAAATGTTGCTCATTTTTCCTTGTCAAAACATAGATGAAGGAGCCCAGGTGTGTGAACATATCTTATACCATTAAACTTATAAATTGGAAAATCCACCTCCAAGCATTCAATGAAGATATTACAAAGAAAGCATGTATCTCAACACTCTTCTTTGATTGGTGGCATCAGATACCAGAGCCTTGAGGAAATGGACCTGGTTCACTGTGAAGATGGAGAACTATCTTCTTAGAAGCTGACTCAAATTGATGAACAAGAGCCTTTAACTCTCATTTTTTCCTTTTCCAGGAAAGGTAAGGGGACAGAATAGTAAAAGATATAGCAGAAGCTGCCTAGTCAGTCATTCATACCTTTACCCACTCATCTGAAATCAACTGCTAAGTGGCATACAATCTTAGGAATGCTTAGAATAATCATAATATTCAAAGTAGGTTCAACTACTTCTGAGGGGGAGGGAAATGACCTTGACACTGTCATTATATAAATGCTGCCTACACGACACCAAGCATCAGGGACTCTCCTTCATAGGGTCGCTATGAGTCGCCTGTGACTCAACGGCATTTAACAACAACAATATCAACCATAAAAACTCTTCTAGGCAAGAGCTTGAGCCAAATCTACACTCCAGCTTCCCCTAGTCTTATGACTACGTCATCTTCTCATGGCTGGTTTTCCCCTTCCCGGATATAAATATTTCTTTAGTCAAGAGATAAATGTCGTGTTTTTATATCATGTTCAAGTGCCCTAAAACTGCCTGAAAATGCTGCTTTGTACCAAATTGTCTCTTTTCAAAAACCTTTTTAGTTTTCTTGAAAAGAGTTGTAAATTCACTTGAATTCTTCAGAATTATTTCAGAGGGACAGAAAGATGTTATTTTTTTAAAAAAAAATGTATTCTATTGTGTTTTTTTCTTATTTGAAAATAACAAAAAAAAAAAGACTAACATGAAAATAGGATATAAATTTTCTGTGTTTTAAACCTCTAATACCCATTTCATCTGTATTTTTAGAAACTTCCTGCCCCACACATACAAGGTATCTCTGTTATTTATTGATACTTTTTTAAAATTTCTATCATCAAATTCAAGCTCACTCTGCTGTCGAGCCGTTTCTGGCAGCCTTGCACGGCTGGGCTCATAATTTCGTGGAAGCAGAAGTGGCGTCCCCTTCCGTAATAGCTTGCCTCCGGAAACCCTATGAACCTGGAGAGAGGATGAAAGGCACACAAGTGTTGAGGACTCTCCTTCATAGGGTCGCTATGAGTCGCCTGTGACTCAACAGCACTGAACAACAACCATCAAATTAGTAAATGATCTCAAGATTAAATAAACACATTATCTCTCTCTCTCTCTCTTTTTTTTTTTTTAGATTTCCGATTTCCATTCATTCATTGTTGGAAACTTCCTGACGTTTTAAGTCCATTTTTCAAAACAACTATTTTCATTTTTGTAGTAAACTGTCCCTACTATATTGAGAGCTGCACAGCCAATCCAAAAGTGGCACCTCTCTGATACTTCAAACCCGCCAACTGCTCCGTGGGAGACTACGGGGAAACTCCCCCTGGGCGAGCCTCTAAAGACACACTGGAGATTCTGCTTTGGGTTAATTGGACTTGAAGGCAATGAGTTTGACTATTTCTACTTATTTTATTCTAAAAGGACTAGGAAATCCCAACTTAAAAGTCAATAACGCAAAAAGAAATCTGGAAGTGATTATCAGCATCTGACATAGAGAGAACTGGAAGGATTTTATTTTTATTCTTCTTCTACTCCTTACGGAGCTCTGGTGGCCTAGTGTCAAGAAGCTGCACCTTTATCCCCAAGGCACACTGTTCAAGGCTACCAGCTCCTTACGTATCTTTTCTTATTTGTGAAATGATTTTGACTTCTTTTCTTTCTAGAAGACAAAACTAAACAAAATAAGCAGTAAAAGAAATTTAAAAGTACATGACATATGTGATTCTTCTTGCTTAAAAGTTATTGGTGACCTACGTAAGCCTTCTCTGCTCACTGTTTTCAGTTGTGTAATTAAAAGCAGAAATATCTATTCTATTGTGATGAATTTCTTCTGGTTTTGACATTTAAATTCTCCTAACTAGTATGATAATACTAGTAGCTGGGTAGTTGTAACATGTATTACATTTTAACATATTTCCAGTTATGATGATGTTTAAGTAGGTAGAATTTCCTGACTCTGTGGATCACTAGAGATTTTCTCATCTCTAATAGAGCTCTGGTGGCCTAGTTGGTAGAGAGGTGTACCGCCAACTTGAAGGCAGGCAGTTCAAAACCACTAATTGTTCCACCGGAGAAAACTGAGCACTCTCCTCCCATGTGGTAACAGCGTCTGAAAACCCACTAGAGGGTCCACAAGGAATCAATTCTGGCTTAAAGGCAACGAGAGTGATAGGAACATTGAGAGGAACCCTGGTGGTGCAGCAGTTAAGTGTTAAGTTGATAACTAAATGTCTGGCAATTCTAACTAATCCAAAAACTCCACAGAAGGAAAAAACTCAACATATTTTAAGTAAGCAAATGAGAACTGAATCATGACTGATCCTTCATTGGGTTTCTGATGCTGTAAATTGCATAGAAGGTGATTGTCCATCATTGTCCCTTAGAGCCACAGCTGTATTCGAACCACCAGCAAAGCATGGTCTTTGGGTTCACAGCACAACTCCATATGCACTTGGCTACCAGAGCTCCTGGATATCTGCTTCTGGGAATGTGATAGCCTAGAAAGCCCAATGGGAACAGTTTCACAGGAAACCAACTCAATGGGACCCAACAACCACAACACAGGGCTGTTGGAGTGTGTAGGCGGTGCAAATGGTTAACGGACCCATGTGCTTACTGACAGGCCGAAAATCCAAGTCCACTCAGACATATCTCTGAAGAAATGGCTGTTTATCTATTTCCAAAAATATCGAGATAATGATAGAACTGTGGAGCTCCGTTCTACTCTGACACACATAGGGTCACCATGAACGGGGGTCAATTAAATGGTAACTGATAGGAGGATCACTTAATTAAACAATAGGAGCTAAAATAGGGGTCATGTGAAAGAGTGGAAAGATCTCATCCCAAAAATGTGCCAATGGCTTAGCGACTTCTAACCAGAACGAGATGATCTAAGCATTGTCTCCATGCTTTTCCTTTTATCTATTTTCTTTTAACTGAATATTTAAATTTTGATGCAAATTTTGGTCTTGGCAATGGTCCTGTGCATGGCATCCTTCACTTCTTTATTTCTCAAGCTGTAGATAAGGGGGTTCAGCATGGGGATCACAGCTGTGTAGAACACAGACACCATCTTATTGAGATCTAGAGAAAAAATTGCCCCTGGCCGCACGTAGATAAAGAAGAGGGTGCCGTACAGGATAGAAACGGCTGTTATGTGAGACGAGCAGGTGGAAAAGGCTTTGCGCCTCCCGTCAGTAGAGCGGATCCTCAGAATGGCAAGCAGGATGTGAAAATAGGAGATTATAATGGTCAGGCTACTGACCACTAACACGGCTCCTGCCACAATGAAAACTAGCAGCTTATTGATCCAAATATCAGCACATACCAGAGAAAGAATTGGAGACATGTCACAGAAGAAATGATTGATAATGTTGGAGTGACAAAAAGGTAGTCGGAAAGCAGCTATTGTGTGTGTCATGGTGTTTAAGAAGCCAACGGAGTAGGGTCCGAGCAGCAGTTGTATGCAGAGTCTCTGGGACATGATAACAGAATACAGTAATGGGTTGCAGATGGCCACGTAGCGGTCATAGGCCATAGATGCCAAGAGGAGGCACTCAATGGCCACAAAGAAGCCAAAGAACCATTGCTGCAAGACACAGCCCAGGAAGGAGATGGCTTTCCTTTCTGAGAAGAAGTCTGTGAGCATCTTGGGGCCGACGACTGATGAGAAACAGATGTCCACAAAGGACAAGTGGCTGAGGAAGAAATACATGGGTGTGTGGAGACGGGAATCGATTCTGATGAGAATGATCATGCCCAAGTTCCCGGTCATGGTAACGAGGTAAAACAGCAAAAAGAGCAAGAAAAGGAACACCTGGAGCCGAGGGTTGTACTTGAGGCCTACGAAAATGAACTCTGTTATTGTCGTATAATTTTCATCAGCCATTAGTTGTCTTTAATCTCTACAATAGGGGAAAGAAACAAAGGCAGTGAATTGGAAACACATTCAAGTTCAATGTCTTCAATGAACATAAAACAAATAGTAAAGACTACATTTACCTGAAAGCATCAGCTTAAAGGAAGTCTTAGTCAAATGTTAACACATCAGCTATAACACCATTCTCCCAAGTAATATGTTAGGCTTTTAAAGAGGAAAGAGATATTTAAGAAATAATTCCTCATGAGAACATCTGAAAAAGTATTCACTGTTTTAGTCAGGAGGTAGACAATCTCCTCCCGTGCTATTTGCTGCCTCTGAAAACCCACTTGAAGGTCAACTATGAGTCAGTTCTGATCTGATGGCCCAGGAAAGAATGATATTATCTCAGTAGTTTGAAAACAATTTGATAAGACGCAGTCTTTAAAAGAATCTTTGCAAATTAGTCATAAAACCTCAGACTCGTTGCCACTGAGTTAGCACTCACTGAGCTGACCCTCCATTGGGTCCCTGGTGGACTTCTATCACCACAGAGGCTAGACATTTGGGCTAGGAGTGCAACTCCCTAGGGATTAGGCCACAAGAGCACCCTGGAAAACAGAAAAAGAAATTATTTGGTAAGGAATTGCATTACCAACCCAAAGACAGTTCAAATCCACTCACTGCTTTGCAAGAGAAATATCTCCGCCTGTGGGATTTATAGCCTCTGGAAACCTACAAGAAATTTGCTATGAAACAGTTCTGACTCAAAGCTACACAGCAAACAACAATAAATTTAGTAAACTGAATCCTCCAGAAGAATGAGATGACACTCATCAATATATTGGTAGAGCAGATCATAATTCTACAAATGTATGTGGATGTGTAGTAAATACACCCATGTGTCTACTATTGGATACAAGGGGCAAAGTTATAGAAACTTTCTTCCATCACCAACCAAGAATGAGTTTCTGGCTTTTTGTCTCAGAATCTTAGTCTCAAGAGGCACCCACATCAATTAGCACTACACAGTTTACAAAGAAAGCGTTCTACATCTTACTTTGAGAAATAGTGACTGGAATATTGCAATCTTGCGGCAGTCCATCGTGGGTACAACTATGTGTCTCTCTCTGTCCAAAGCAGAGGTGAATGAAGAAAATCAAAGCTCTGTGCAATCAATTATCCTTAAGGACTAGTGACCCAAATGAATACCAACCTCCATAGACAAGAAAAAGCAGGTAGTGCTCAACTGCCACTCCACAGCTCTGAGAGAGAACACAATAGAAGATCTTGACGTGAGCAGGAGAAAAATGTGGAACAAAACACACAATACAGCCTAGGCTGAGTGGTCAAAGGGAGACTGTGGGGACCTCCAAGACTACAGCTGTTAGTCATTCTTCAATCCTGAAACTGAACTCATCTCTGCAGTTCAATTTTCAGCCGACAGATTTATAAAGTGAATAACAGCATTAGGAGGGTACAGTACGTAGAACAACCAACCATTTGTGAGCTAAACAGTAGTATTTGGCCAGGACTAATTTCTGAAAGCAGGACTGGTTAGGCAAGGAGGAAGAAAAACTTCGAGAAGAATCAGTATGAGTGATGTCACATTGCTGGGATTGCAACCAATGATATGAAACAAATTGGACTTAAATTATTGAGCAAAAAATTACCCATTATGTTAACATTCATCCAGAAAATAATAATTTTAAAGGATTTAGAATTTTCCATAAGTTTGAAAAAAATGTGTTGCAGTGACAAAACATTAGAAACATTCACATCACAAACATAAAAATATATAAAGATACTCATTACTTATTCTATTTAACATTACATTGAAATCACAGAAAAAAAAATACCAAAACACTTAAAAATTCTAGAGAGAGAGAAAATTATTGCTGCTCAGAATAAAAATAATCCTTCCTTCACAAAGAACATGCATACAAAATTTTCTCTTCATGTTTTATCTATCATGAAGTCTGTTCCTTCTCATTTATTCTCTCCAAGACACAGCTGGGGTTTTTTTTCTTTTGGCAGTTCATAGGATCTTCAGAACTCTTCTCTAACACCACACTTCTTCAAAGGTATCAATTCTTCAAAGGCATCAATTCTTCTGTCATCCTTAGTCCTTGTCCAGTTCTCAGATGCATGGGAAGTGACTGACAAGACCATAGCTTAAAGCGGGTGCACCTTAGTCTTCAAACTGACATCATTACTTCCCAATAGTTTGGAGAGGTAACCGATTACATATTTTCACATAACATCCATTAGTCTACTCCAATCTGGGGTAATTGTTGTTGTTGCTGTTGTTAGGTGTTGTTGAGTACGACTCATAGCGACCCTATGAACAAATGATCAGAATGCAGTCCTGTCCTGCACCATCCTCATGCTTCCTGACACACAAGAGCCCATGGCAACCTGGGCTCTGCCCCTACACTACCATAACTACCCTCTTTGTTTAGTGTTCACTGGGTTTTCGAAAGCCTTTTATTTAGGAAGTAGAAGGGTAAACTAACACAAAACTCAAGGCAATAATTAAGTCTACAGGATAAACCGCACCCTCCTCTAATCTGAGAACAGAACTAGACAGTGTCAGTGACCCAGGCAACCAACTCTAAGCAGATACACAATAAAGAAACTCAATTAGAATGGGGTGAAAATGTAAAATAAAGTTCTAATTAAGAAAGAAAGACCAAAGTTACTGAACTGGCAGAGAACAGAGAAACCACAAAACTATTGCTCTATGGCTTACCTTTTTAAACTGAACCAAAGCTATACCTGGAGATTATCTTTTAACCAAATAATAAGATAGGGCCACAAAATAAACAAAATTACTTATAATACACTCTTTAGAACATCTGACTATACACAGCTGTTGTTAGGTTCCGTTGAGTTGATGACAACTTATAGTGACACAATGAACAAAAATTCTGAACCCTGCCCTATCTTGAGCCAATCTCATCATCTCTGACACAGCTGCCCCCATTGTCGCAGTCACTGAATCAATCTCTCTCACCCAGGGTCTTCTTCTCCTGCACTGTCCCTCCACCCTTCTCCAAGAACTGGTCCATCCTGGCAACATGCCCAATGTATGTGAGATGGAGCTTTACAATCCTAGCCTCCAAGGAGCAACCAAGTTGCACCTTCTCCAGAACAGATCTGTTTGTTCTTTTGGCAGTCCATAGTAGATCCAATACTCTTCTTCAGGATCAAGACTCAAAGGCACTATGTGTAGCCAAACAAAAATCATTTTCCCAAAAACAAATGTGAGGTGACAAGGAGAGTCAGGAGAACTGAATAGATGGGAACAGAAAAAGCAGGGTAGACATAGGGACAGCAACCAATGCCATGAAACAAATTGTGTGCAAATCATTAAATGAGTAACTAGGTAAACTAGGTAAACCTTGCTAGGTAAACTTTCATCAAAATCAGCAATAAAACATTCACAATAATTATTTTGACATTTTCACTGGATTTACATTAAATGTATTAAATAATTAAGGAAATAATAAATTTGAGATAACTGAAAGAAGCCTGTAGGTAGATCAAATCAATGTTATTGACCTATTGCTCTGAAAGATATACCACACCAGGAAAACCCTGAGTGTCTCATCAAACCAAGAAAAAGGTCATTATTTAAGATCTTGAGAAGAGTGGTGTTTAGCTGAAATGTAAATGAAGCAAAACTGCGCTAAACTCAGCAAAGTTAAAATGCTTGTAGAAATGTAAATATCACAGAACACAAAGCAGATGGATGGTCTTGATTCCTTAAAAACTGATGTTCTTGTCATGACAGGAGTCCGGAACTAAGGTAGCATAGTGGAGTGGACTTCAGGGGAGGGATTGAATAACAATAAGAGATTTTTTTTTTCTTTTACTTTTCAAAAAGAAAAGTGAATTGGAGGGAAGGGGGAGCAGGGAGAAAAGTGTAACAATGAATGACTAGAAATCTGATGTCTCTGTAAACATTCATTAATATAATTTTTTTTTACAAAAAAGAATGTGTAGCAGGTAGGAGTCCAGAAAGTCCTTAGCTGAAGCTCTGCAGCTGAATTATAAATAAAGCCTGCTTTTCTGTGCTAAGATGACGAAGATCCTACAAATGAAAATGGGATGTTCCACCACACAGATAATCATTTTAAACAAAGAACTTTAGACAGCCGATGAATTACTTTAGAAAGTATTTTCTCAGTGAGGGAGGAAGAAAGCAGAAGTCATTTAAAGGAGGGGTTTGTAGCGTACAACACACAGGGCTGCTAACTCCAAGAAGAGAATTTTAAATCCACCAGTTCCATAAGAAAAATAGGGCCAGTTCCCTCTGTGACGATTTACGAACCAAACCAAATGGAAGGTTGCTATAAATGGGAAAAATTCACTTTCATTTGTTTGTTGGTTGGTTTTATTGCTCGCTTTATTTATAATGACAACACGCAAGTAAAGTTATTACAAACACACTAGGAAGAATACAGTGGTGTATCATCCGTTATAAAAGATTAAATGCAAAACAGCAAAGAACTTTGGTAAATTATCAATTTAGAAAAGGAAAAAATGTCATTGGAATAATTGGCATGGGATATATATAATGGCTTGCCACAAGAGAGGAAATTAGAAGACCAAACAAGCAAAGAAAATTCTTGATCTTTTTAATAATAAGGCAAGAGAGAATGAATCAATAACATAGACTATTACATACCCAATAAACTGAAAAATAAAAAGAAATATGAAAACATGAAACACTCATGATCTGATTCTAACTCACAAGGAAACCATATGTTTCTGAGTACAACTATTCCACAGGTTTTTCAATGATTTTAACCTTTCAAAGACTATCTTTCTTCCAAGCTTCTTATGGGTGGATTTGAACTGCCAACATTTTGCTTAGAAGTCCAATGTTTAACCAGATGTACAACTGAGAGGCTTCAAAAATGATGAAGAGATAGTGAAAGATACGATCACTTACACCATGGTGAGATAGTGTTCTAGATGATAAGTTTTCAGTATCAATATTTTTTCCCATTACTTAGTAAGTA